TGTCACCAGGGCAGGCTGGCACCATCCCAGCCATCAGATGGCATCAGCCCCACACAGTTTTTGTGTCCTGGTGCTGGGAGATCCAGCATTTCTGCTGTCACCAGGGCAGGCTGGCACCATCCCAGCCCTGGGTGCCCTTCTCCTCCCCAGAGAAGCCTGGCAGAGGCCAGAGAAGACCTCGCCCTGCGGAAAGAACACGACACAGCCCTGAGAGCCGAACTGAGCCAGGTGACCACGGCCCACGCCGAGCTCACAAACAGCTTCCAGGCTTTGCAAAGCCAGCTCCAGCGGGCGGAGGAGCAGAAGGAGAGGCTGAGCCGGGAGCTGCGGCTGCTGCGGGAYGAGCACTCGGAGCTGCTGCACGGAGCCAGCGCCCTGCGCAGCGACAATGACCGCCAGGCTGGCCACATCCGCCACCTCCAAGGTATGGGGACAGGGAATGGCCTGGGCTCTGCCCTGCAAAAACACAGAGGGGACAAGGAAAACACTCCTAAAGCCGCAGCGCTCAGAGCTGCAGGCACACCAACTGCTGCAAACCTCACCTCGCCACAAAACCTTCTGATTAACAAAGAGCCCCTAAAGTTGGCTCTGATCAGATTAAAAAGCTCAGAGAAGTCACTTTTCTAGAAGAGAGGGTGGAATAGGACACCTGAAAAGAAATGAAAATCTGAGATGTGTCCTCAGCTCAGAGGAATGAGGATTTTGCAGCATTGCCAGCCCAGCAAACGCTGCCCTGCAGCTCCAGTGCTGTGGGATGATGATGCCACACAGGAGCCGAAATTATCCCAAAACACAGGTCAGACAGAGGCAAAGAAACTCACACACATTATTTTAAACTCACACATGTTATTTTAAACTCATACACATTATTCTAAACTCACACACGTTACTCTAAACTCACATACATTATTCTAAACTCACACACGTTACTCTAAACTCACACACGTTATTCTAAACTCACACACATTATTTTAAACTCACACGTTATTCTAAACTCACACACGTTATTCTAAACTCACACACGTTACCCTAAACTCACACACGTTATTTTAAACTCACACACGTTATTCTAAACTCACACACAACTGTTTTAAAACATAATTATGGAAGAGAGAGTGGGTCGCAGTTCTAATCTCATAACAGGTCTTGMATGAACAGCTTTAAAATAAACTATAAATGACTTGAATAAAAAGCTGCCCAGAAAGGGTAATGAAGAGCTAAAAATCACATCCCTTCAGAAAAGAAAGTTCAGTGCAGCCAACAGTGGAGAACAGAACTGTACCACCCCTGCATAAAGATAAMCAGAGATTTACACCAACCTTGATTTCCTCCTGTCCTCATTTCAGATAAACTGCAAAAAGAGCAAGAGCAGAAGGTGACGTTGGAGGCAACMATCAGCCATTTGCAGAGTAAGGAACACAGAGATGCACAAAGTAAGAAATCTTCTTTGGTGCTGGTGGGGACAATAATGTGAATTTTTGTGTTCCCAGACTTGATCCACAACCAGAACAACCAATGGAAGAGGCAGGAGGTGTCGGTGCAAAGGAAAGGTCAGCAAACTTTGTAACCCCCACGTAGCACTCCCTGGACACAGGAACACTAGCCCTGACTCTAGGAGAAGTCTACATTGGTTTAGAATAAAGGGTAATTTTAGAGCTGCACAGAATGAGTTGTTTTGCTAGCTAATATCAAAACATAAATGTATTTATGATGGCAAACACTTTAAAAAATAAATGGATTTCACTGCAAATTCTACCTCAATGGCTACGCCATCTTTTTTCTAGACAAAATACATTCCAGTTTATAATTGCAATTACAGCTGTATTTGACAAAAGTAATAAAAAAGGCATTTTAGCTCTCCCTCCCCTCCATTTCTGGCAACTGCTTAGAAATATTGCTCTAAAGAGGATAAACTTGTAGCTACAGCAGAGGCRGACCTGTGCTAACAATCTCAGCTCCTGTTTCTTCTGCTTTGTGTGTAGCACACAAATATTATCCTTAAACTGTAGCTGAGTAAACAAGAGCTAAAGCAATCCCAGAGCCTGGAGCTGTTTCTCACCAGAAGCCTGACTGTTTTCTAGACCAGGTTTCCACCACACAGACCCCAYCTCTCACTCCTGCCAAGGAAAAACAAAATGCTGTGCTAGAGCACCCCGAGGAGGAGGAGGGAAAAGAAAGGCTGAAGGATGAGATGCAGAAAAGGACATCCCAGCTGAGAGCAAAGGAGAACGAGGTGAGGAAGTCACTCAGCAAGCTTGGGGTCTCCTGTAAGATTAGCTCTGCTGAATTTTTATCCGAATTACCAGGCTTGGTAAAGCCCCCGTGAAGCACAAGCACAGGGTTCCAGCAGCAGAGTTCTCCCCATCCAAACCCAATTCTGCTCTCACATGCAGGAGAGCTTTGACAACCTCACAGGGAAGCAGCACATTAATCATCAAAGCCCTGAGCATAAGGGAGAGGAGGAAAAGAAAAGGTTTGTAATAATAACAGCAATAAAAATAACAGGAAGGGTTTGCTACAGAAGCAATGCCCTTACAATTGGACTGCAAAAAAAACCACCCCAAACAGTCAAAGGTTTGTAGCCTTTTGCACACACTTTGCTATCAAACCAGATTTGTGCCAATGAGCAGCCCCTCAATTCTTACAGCAGTGTTCAACCAGCAAGGATTTATTTTAAAAACTGGTTTATAATTTAATGTAGCAGAGCTGAGAGCCACACAGGAGAGGAGTCTGCAGAGCTGCAGAGCTCATCAGAGTCGGGGAAAACTCATTCTGGTGAGGAAAAGGGGCCATCCCTGAGTTTGGGGTTGTGCAGCACAACCAAGGCACATGGCCCATGTGTCCCATGTCTCAGAGGGCTTMAAGGACTGTCAGGGTCAGTAAAACRCAAAATGAATTTCAGAAAGAGAGGCCAACCCTGGCAGAAGTTTGCATTCCACTTCTTCCTGACCTGCACACTCTCATAGTCATAAAAATCAGTACGGCTGCTTTCTCCCATCTGATGGGAATGGTGACAGCAAAGCCAAGAGGGCAGTGGGAGGGTGGCAGAGTGGGCATTGCCCCAGCACCTGCTGCCAGTAACACTGAGCTGTGCTCTGTCCCCACAGGATCAGGACATTGAGGTGGCATTGCCCTGCTCCAGTAAGGGACACTCAGGTGGCATTGTCCTGCTCCAGTAAGGGACACTCAGGTGGCATTGTCCTGCTCCAGTAAGGGACACTGAGGTGGCATTGTCCTGCTCCAGTAACACTGAGCTGTGCTCTGTCCCCACAGGATCAGGACATTGAGGTGGCATTGCCCTGCTCCAGTAAGGGACACTCAGGTGGCATTGTCCTGCTCCAGTAAGGGACACTCAGGTGGCATTGTCCTGCTCCAGTAAGGGACACTCAGGTGGCATTGTCCTGCTCCAGTAAGGGACACTCAGGTGGCATTGTCCTGCTCCAGTAATGGACACTCATGGGACATTGTCCTGCTCCAGTAACTCTCTATCCCCACAGGATCACCAGGATGCTCCAGAGGCAGAGCAGGGCCATGTCCCTGCACAGGGACAGCGCTGTGGCCACTGTGGGAGCCCGGCCAGCCCGGCCACCCCGGCTGTGTGCCAGCAGCAGGGGACACCTCCTGCTCAGAGCCCCTCGCTGTGCTYGCAGTGCTCGGAGCTGCGCTGGGAGCTGGAGGCGCTGAGCGAGGAGTACCAGTCGTGCCTGAGCCGGCTGCGCCAGTGCCGGGACGAGCTCAACCGCTCCCACGGCAGCCGGGCACAGGTGGGAGCTGCTGTCCCAAATCCCGACCCCCAGCTCCTGTCCCAAACCCCAGCTCCTGTCCCAAATCCCGATTCCCAGCTCCTGTCCTGACCCCCAGCTCCTGTCCTGATCCGCAGCTCCTGTCCCAAATCCCGACCCCCAGCTCCTGTCCCAAATCCCAGCTCCTGTCCCGAGCTCCTGTCCCAAACCCCCAGCTCCTGTCCCAAATCCCAGCTCCTGTCCCGAGCTCCTGTCCCAAACCCCCAGCTCCTGTCCCAAACCCCAGCTCCTGTCCCGAGCTCCTGTCCCAAACCCCAGCTCCTGTCCCAAATCCCGACCCCCAGCTCCTGTCCCAATCCCCAGCTCCTGTCCCAATCCCCAGCTCCTGTCCCAAATCCCGATCCCCAGCTCCTGTCCTGATCCCCAGCTCCTGGCCCAAATCCCA